ACTTTGGATATTAATGATATTGAGTGTGCATTTTGCCTCATTGTCATTCTCCTTAGTCTCTAGGAACTCCACGGCCTCCTCCCCTTCTCCTCCTCCTTCCACCACCGTGAGTGAGTGAGTTTGGCCTACCTTGGGTGGCCTTCACCAACCTTAGTGAAGTGAGCTAGCCAAAAGGAGCAACACCCCACCAAACACCTCCCATACACCTTGTGCGCCACCTCCATCACCCTAAACACCAACCTTTTCCTTAGCACTAGGTTGCCTTTGGCTAACCTCCTCCCATCTCCACCATAAAAGCAAAACCCTAAATAGGTTTCATCCTACACTTGGATGAAACAACCTTGAGCAAACCCTCTTCACCTTCACCTTTGTGCTTCCGCCACCATCTCCTTCATTTTTCATCATCTTTTGGAGTCTCCCTTGTTGAACCAAGATCAAGGGCGTGCATGGAACTAAGCCACCTTCCATCACCAGGTGTAGGGGGAACTATTGTGTGCAAAGGCTTGTGTGCAATTTATTTCAAACATATGCAGAATTTAAACAGGCAAACAAATATTAAAGCCAAACAAATAAAGCAAACAAAGTAAAGAGGAAAAATATTTAAATTAATATTTTTATTTTATTAATTTCATCAATTAAATGGGCCTGACCCTCTTTAAACTTCCCCAATGGAGTCGCCATCTATCGCAACCCGAAAATTTCTGATCTCGCGACATATGGTTTAGACATCCTTTTAAAAATCTCATTAATTAAGGAATGCCCGGACACCAGACTAATTCTTAATTAATGGTTTTGAAAATAGGTTTATGGAGTCGCCACCAATATTTTACTCAATACATTGGAAAAAGCAACAATGGCCTTGATAACCAGAATTGGGTTCGGGGGTCGGTTATGTGTAAGGAAGGTATTAAGCACCCTTACAGCGCCCTCAATCGGTACCCTATAATAAAGTTAACATGATAAGAATTAATAAATTAAATATTAAATCCCCTTTATTAATATTTATTTACATATTTAAAATTTAAATTATACGACTAACTCTAAAATATCTACATGATTGCGTTTGTTATAAATAAAAGATAGAGATAAAGATGAGACTTACATTTCTTACAAGGGCACCTAATCTTCCCTTGTCCAATATCATCTTCATCGTGTTCCAAAGCAAAATTCACAAATTCATTAATTCCAACAATAAGACAAAATTAATAAGACAAAATTAATTATTATCCATCCACCTTCTATTTTCAGGAATATTCATTTCTGATGCATATAATAAGACAAAATTAATTATTATAACAATTTTAATCTATTTTATCCTGTGACACTCCTATGAGCATTAAATGAATTTTGTGTGTGTATATATATATATATATATATATATATATATATTGATGGAGAAGGTAGGAGAAGTGGATGTGATTCTTCTCCTTAGCTTCACCTTAGCTTGGATCTTCTTCAAAGGAGATGGAGATCGAATCTAAGACACTTGAAGGAGTGAAGATTTTCGGAACTAAGGTTTCCTAAGCTATGGAGGGAAGTATCCAAGCTTAAGAAGCAAATGATTGCTCACTTCAAAAGGTAG